TATAAAGGACGGTATAGGTGGGGAAAAGCAGCATTTAAGTCAAGGATGCAATGGGTTACCTTCAGACGGACTACTCAGTTGCCCGCTTAGAACTTTCCAACGGTTACGTTACGAAAGGGGATCTTGAGCGATTGCAAACTGTTTTGGAACCATTTCTCTAATAATTTTTTTGCCCGAACAGTTGGAATGGTTCTAGTAAATACAGATTTTTTTCTGGTAGGTTCTTCAGGGCTAGTTTGGAAATGAAAACGCTATATACATGGACCATTCTATGCCATATCGAGCAGTTCTTTCAAATAATATGTGAAAGTTCTTTTGAATTTTGCTTACTAGTAGAGTTTGAGCCAGCATGCAGAAAAGTGAAGAGGTGACCTAGAAAAGTGAATTCTCTAGCAAATTACACTTGTTAAAGTTGCAAAATTTGCCAGATTGCTTTTCAGAATGCTTGTCTTTAGAGATTTGTAATTCAACTTGTCTACAGCAGGATACTACGCCTTTTTATTATTCAGATTTGTCTTTTCTTCCACTTGTTAACTTATATCATCCTGTTTAGTTTTGATAAGCAGTTATGTATTCAGAACAAAAACAAAATTCTAGAGGAGTATTGACATATCAATTTTATGTCCTTACTTTTACCATTTTTTACTGGAATAAGTATAAATAATATAAATGTAACGCAAACAACACCCAATAGATAAGTAGCAAAGGAATAGAGTAAACTAAGAAACAATACAAGAAAGAGATACGTAGAGAATGTTGCCCAAAGAACGCTGTAAGATTGAAAGTGGCTTTGTAATAGGAATACTCAAGAGCTAATAGGCAACAATGAACGCTCCATCCAGAAAGCCAACTACTCCGGTAGCACAGAAGAACCCCCTTTTATAGTGAGTCAAGGGTGTTCTCAGGGCCCTCAGGGTATGGTCTTTGGTAGTTTAATTGACCTAACACCTGAACCAAATAGTGTTTGGTCTGATAACACTACACCTCCTCACCAAGTTAAAACTTATGCACCAAGTAAGTTACAAGGGTGTAGCGGACGTGCTTAACCAATAGTGGGGGCTCCTATTAGTTGCATCCGGGACACAACAATAGCAACCTCTCTAGCACACCACTGGTGATCACCCAGAGTACAGCAGGAAAGAAGAATTCTACTGAAATGCATCATCAACAAAAAAAAAGTAAAAATAGAAATAAAACAATAACTGAATTAGAAATAGAATATGAATAGTACTATTTCTAATTGGTTAACAACTGGACACTGTAGAACGTTCATTGGTCTGATCGATCTGAGTGGTTCCGAACCTTTATCCCTCTCTGTGTATACAAGAATCCTTGGGCATCGGCACTTTGATCTTAGCAATTTCGGTTGAGTGGGATTTTGAAGTTTCAAACTATTTTCAATTTCTCGTCTGTGTAGTTGATTCACGTGACTTGTGAACGGTTGTCCCAAAACAACTTGAATACTGAATAAAACTTTTCCAAGACGACGAGTGATGATTGCTGGGATCCAGTTTTTGCTTCCTTGGTATCCTCTTGCCAGCACAGGCTGATTCACCTGAAAATTTCTATTACATGCTTCAGATGTTTTATCGGTTGGAAAAGCCATTTCTTTGTTCACGGTCTGGGAAGTTGCAGGTGGAAATAGTAGATCAAATACAGAGCGTAGTTTTTGACTGTGAAATATCTCTGTCGGGCTTTTGTTCGTTGCAGGATGAACTGCATTTCAATAATGAAATAAAAACTGGTGTATATTTGCTTTGTCCGTAATGGTGCTCATTTTATGTGAAGCTCGCTCAAAGGTGTCCACGAACCGTTCCGCCAACCCACTGCTTCGTGGGTGGAACGCTGAAGAAAAGAAATGCTGATTACCATTATGCAAGCAGAAAGTTTAAACTTCTGAAACTGAAAAGAAGGCCCATTATCTCTGACCAATGTTTCAGGTAATTCGAATCTGGAGAATGCTTTTTCTAGTGCTTGAATGGTAGAGCTCGCATTTGAAGACTTTATATGGAAAACCTCCATTCATTTTGAGTATGAATCAACTAAGATCAGTAAAAAAGTTCCTTTTCTAGGCGTGGCAAAATCTACGTGGAGCGGGACCATGGCTTTTTCGCATTTGACCAAGTTCCCATTAGAGCATATGGGGACATTTTTGCTGTATCCAGACATACTGAACAGTTTTGTGCAAGATGCTCAATTTCCATATAAAAATACACAAAGACACAATAAAAACAAAATTTTAAACAAACATGGAAAAAAAACGTGTCTTAAATTTTTTTAAAAAAGATGTACTTTGTGTAGAATTTTTTTCTTTACATCCCATCAAAATTTGACAATAAAGATTTTTTGATGTCGAGAGTTACGAGCCGGGAAGGAATGTGAAACTGAAAAAAACCCACTACTTTTACGGTAATCTCATGTATTTTACAGTGGCGAAATCATCCAATGCCGATTTTGAAAACCGCAGCTGGCAGCTACAAATATCCGGTATGCTTTAAACGTTGAAAATTCGCTACCAAAGTTGTACTTTATTTTAACAATATTAACAAATTATTATTCTGCAGAGTTATAAAAGGTAGTCTTTACTTTAGCTCTTTCTAGTTTTTGTATGTCGCAGTTTCTGAGCTCTCCAGATGATTCGTCACTGTAAAATACATGAGATTACTATAAAAATAGTGGGTTTTTTTTTTCAGTTTCACATTCCTTCTCGGCTCGTAACTCTCAATATCAAAAAATCGTCATTGTCAGATTTTAGTTTGTTGTAAAGAAAAAAATTCTACACAAAGTATATCTTTTTTAAAAAAACTAAAGACACGTTTTTTTCTATGTTTGTTTAAAATTTTGTTTTTATTGTATCTTTGTGCAATTTTATTAAAATTAAATTAATTTTATTAAAATTATAATTAACACTTTTTTAAAAGTTCATGAAAAACAAGAGGGATCAAAAAAGGTTAAATTACGTTAAGAATAGGCCAAATTATACGCCTTCAAAGATAGGCATTCCAAACGGCAACCTGGCAAATTTTATAACTTCAGGGGGTGTAACTTGGCTGGGAATTCTTTTTTTCAGTTTTTCTTTGTGGCTTTCTTTATGCTGGCCTACACTCTACTAATCAGCAAAAAATGAAAAAATCTGATAGGGTGATGTTCAAAGGTATGCGATTTGACATGGAATGGCCCATATGCAGAAATGCGGACTTGAGCAAGTAAAGATGGCAGTTTGTGTAAAAAAACACTTTAAATCTTTTTTAATCGCGCAGTTGAGCTCTGCAGGAAAAATGATTACTGGAGGTCTTTATCGGTAGATTTAAAAAACGATATCCAAACGAAAGTAATAGAAGATTCTGTACATTTTGCCAGTAATTCTTCGTCACTCAGTTATAGCCAAAATTTGAGGCTAAATGTCATTAAATTTTGCTCGTTTTTCGTTACAAGTGATCCTGTAACGAGCTGGACTCGCACTATACTGTAGATCTTATTTGTAATTCCCAAGCAAAATTGCTTTTATCTTTAGAATTTTGACCTATTATTTCTCAACAGGAGCGATAGAAACTTCAAGAATGACTAGGAGAAGGACTCTTGAAGAATTTTTAGAGCCTGTATAAAGTTAAGTCGGTAGCTTTGAAGCTTGAATGAATAGAACATTTTGAGCGCTAATAACAAATTAGATAACTTGGTAGTTTTTAGTTTGCTCATGAAAGGTCTGACTAAAAAATTACAGATTTAGAAAGGTATACGGATGAATGACCAAAGAATAGAGGAAGGGAAGAGCATTATAGAATTTAAGTTAGGGGATAGACGACAAGTCAAAAAAGGCTTATTCATTTTGCCTAAATATACGGCTGAGTTTATTCTCATGGAAATCGAAAATGGAGTCTGATTTCTTACGTACTTAATTATGCCCTTTTAGACACGCAGTTTTGAGATATTGGGAAGTTTTGGTGGTAATGAAAAATGTTTTTGTTTTTTATGAAATTTTCGTTTTAGTTTTATCCAGTTTTTCAAATTATTCCTAACGGTTTAATTTTTTAATATTATTGCTTGTTTTACAAAATTCCCCAGAAAAAAGGTTTAGATTTCAAAAAAAGGTCGCAAAAAAATTTTTTTTCTATCACTTGCAGTGTTTGGCGAAATGCTGCAGTTGTAAAGAGCTTGGAATGCGATTAGAGAAAGCACAAGTAGTTTTTTCAACACTTTTTTCAAACTTAAGCACTCATTGATCATGGTAATGCTCAATGAAAACAGTTTACACACATCAAAGTCGATCGCCATCAAAGTAACTCCTAAACTTTTGATCTCTACTAGTGCGGAACATTCATCTTTGGAAGAAATTAGACTATTAAAGTTTACATTTAGACTTTCCACAGAAATATTTGCTCAGTGGATAAAAATGTTTACTAATGACTCAAGGAAAGTATCTTTCATAGGAAAATAAAATAATCTAATTTACTTTGATCGTCACTCATGGGTGATCTAAATCATCATTTTTCGTCCATTTCTCAAAAACTGCATTTTGCAAAGCTTTCAGATCTCAAACGTTTAAGCTAGAATGTTCTTTACAAAGATTCTAGCAGCTTAGTTTCAAAAAAAATTGTATTATTTCATCTTGTTCCGAAGCTTTCACGCGAGAAACACTATTTCTTCAAGCTCAGTAGCCCCAAAATGGTGCCAACTAAATCTTTTTCAAAAATTCGCCACAACTTCCCATTAAAAATTGCTTCCATGTGCTTGTTACTTTAATAAAAGTCGCCTTTGTGAACCAAAATCAAACCGAACAGTACAGGATCCTATGCTCTTACTTTCTATCAGCAGTCATACAAAGGAACCGTAACAATCAGCCTTTGGGTCATTTAGGGTTCCCAGCGGTCATTAGCTGATACCACGGTTTTAAATTTCTTATGCACTGCTTCAAAATTACTTGCTGTGTTTTTCTCCTCTCTTCCTCTTCGCTGTTGTATGCCTCATACAACGCTGTTGCACACTTCAAGCTCCCGTTACCAGAGCTCTCCTCGTCAGGCCGCGAAACATTACCTTCAATTTTATCAACGACTTTCGATTTCATTTATCGAAGGAATTAGTACTGGTGTTCCAGTTTTCCATGTGCGTACTGGTGTGGCTGACGGCTGGCTTATTGGCCCGCGCGGTGTTGAACGATCAGGAGACTTGCTAATTACTTTATCGTTATGGTGGGGTGGCGTAATAGCTGGTTTTTTCACGTTATGGGACATACGGGACTCAAAACTTTGTTGTTTGACTGGCTTCCTGGCTGTTTCGTTACATGGGGAGTTGTGGTTGTGCTTGCTCCTGTTTTTGACGTTGTAGTAGCATTAGGTTTAATTCGCGAGAATTGTGTTAGATTATTATCTGTGGTGTCCTTTATTCCTTGTTTGTTTATTTCCCAACAGGTTGTTTTCGTTTTCAGTGTCTGCGTCTTGAGGGGAGCCGCGTATGCTGAAGTTCGGGCGGAGTGAAATTTAATCTGTGTCGATAAATGGTTATCTTTAGTTATAAAAATTTTGTTCGCCATTTGCTTGGCTTTTATAGCCACCTTTTGTAGTCTTGTGGATTAGTTTTTAATTTACGTGAACAATCTGTTGCTTTAAAGTTGTTGTGGAAGTCGTTAATGTTGCTGGAGTGGAGTGGAGTAGATAAGAGGTTCCTTTTTACTCAAGGAGAAAGGATAAACTTTGCTTTTTTGCAGTGCGCGACTCGACTAGTAGTGAACAGTGTAAAGAAGTGGTTTTATATTACGGGTGATTCTGACCTTAAATTAGTTTATAACTGCTTTGTCGTCTCTATTGGTGTTCTGGTTTCTTAATGTTTTGCTTAGATTATCCTTGATAAAAAAACTAGTTGCTGTTTGCGGTTATTTTACTTGCACATTTACATTACTGTATTTGCTTTCGTCGTTGCGTGGTCGAGTTGTAATTGTTTCGACAGAACTTGTGTTGTTGACAGGTTTTCCATGATCATGAATTGAAGTTCAAGTTCTTAAATCTTCAGTAGGTGAAAACATCACGGATAAAACAGGTTATTGTTAACATCGTGTTTGATACTGACTGTTATTGGTGAAATAGTTGTATAATTTATCCGTTTCCTCTTTTTATTTGTCCTAAATTGTAAGGCCGGTAGAGGAGTGACTTTTTAAGTTTGTTAACCTAACTTTTGTGGTGTTCTGAGAACAGTGAAATGCAGAATTTGAAAAAAAAATAAAAAAATTTGTTTTTTTTTTGTCATGAATTATTGCCTATAAAATGAATCACTGCAAGCAGAAGAAGTCTTTCTAATATTTAGAGATCATTTCCTTAGCTGCTTGGCAAAGCAAACTTAACATGTGGTTGACAATTTAGCATGGCCAAATTGTTGTTGAAGCAGTATATATGAAGTGATTATTGAACAGTGAATATCTTTTTGCGTAAAACATACCGATTTAAGGCAGCTAGAGTTGGTTAAAGAATCAGTTTGAAGAAGAATTGAAATTTAAACTTGGACGAAAAGACAGCATTCAGAAATGGAAAGGAAAACTGGGTAATAAAAACTATATAAAACAGTTCAATGAGGTACCTGTTAGGTTCGAATGGATAATAAGTTTGATTATCTATGTTACTGTTTTTTTCTTTTTTTTTTTTTACATTTTTGGTAAGCCACAAGTTGCTTTTAATCTATCATCTTCTGCCTGTAATATCGTCATTCAGAAACTTTGCTTTTATTCATTTGTTGTGTCAATGATGTATAAACGGAAAATTGCACAACCTTTTAACAAAGTTCTGCTATGGTAATTATTATTATTTTTTGTAAATATCATCATTAAGATTAAGAATATTGTTATCAATACTATTATTGTTATCACTGCTATCATTATTGTCATTATTATTATTATTATTATTATTATTATTATTATTATATCAATGATATTATAATAACAGTAATACCAATAACTAATACCATTATTATTATTATTATTATTATTATTATTATTATTATATATTACTATTGCCATTACTATTATTTGATGGCAATCTTAACAATTGTTTCTTTCTTTCTGTAACCGACATTTAAAAAAAAAAAAAAGTTTTATCTTAACAGGATAAATATTTTCAATTACCGTAACAGTGTGATCACTCCCTTACACTACAGATAACCCGCATAAGTGAGAAATAAATAAGTGCTATTGGAAAAGGAAGTTTATTCACATCGATAGTCCAGCAATAATTTTAATTCATAGACGCCCTTTTTCCAAAATTTTTTTGGCAGATTTGTTCGTCACAATTACTGAAAGAAAATGGTAGAATTAAAAAATATACAAATACTTTTGTAAGAATCTAGCTTTTTTTTGCTCAAATTGATTATGCGTGAAAAATTCGTTTAGTTTTCAACAGATAATGCTGGAAAAAAAAAAGAGAATCAAAAAGACAGATATTAATAGTTAAAAAATGACAACATTTTTGTATTTTCAATTTATTCATCATTTTTTGCTATTTGAAAAGCAATACAAAAAATCAAAAATAATTTGATAAACTAATTGTTATTGTTGATTTACGCTGAAATTTTCTTTCTTCTTCATAAATAAACAAAAAAAACTGCTTTTTGATTTTTTCCTTTTCTTGTTTGATAGTATTATTAGAAAAAATAATTTTTTTTACTTTTAATCTTAAACGTTTTTGGTTTTCTGTTTTTTTTCTTATAGATTTAGTTATCTGAAGCTATTTTTAAACTACACACAATTTTGAAATGACTGTTTGTTTGTTTCAATTGTTGCTTATCAATCATTTGAAAAAAAAAAGCTTTTTTTTTTTGGTTAACAGATGATGTGTTTTGCATTTTGCTACTTGGTAATACACAATTTTCCCCCCGTATACCAATTCTTGTTCAACAGATCAACAAATTATATTTGACTGAATATTATTCTGATACAATTACTTATCGTACAATGATCATATATTTACTGAAGCTATACAATGCCAACATTATACCAACAGTAGGCAGAAAAAAAAAGCAAATAATTAACTGCAAAACTGATACATATTGTGTTTCTAAAAAAAGTTTTCATTTTTGTAAGAATTATACGACAGCTATTTACGGAATACAGTTTGCTAAAATAGAGCAGAAAAATAACTAATTGAAACAAAATAGAAAGTATATGACTTTGTTGCAGATAACTTATTTACTAAACATCTTTTTTTTTTGTTTTTGTAAACAACTATAAAGCTGTAATTTATAGAAATGTTTTGAAACTTTTTTTTTGCTGTTTTTTTCTACTTTTTTCATCGTCATCATTTAAATATCTCGCGCCGTGTCTATCATATTATAGCTGAATATATGTTGCTCAGTCGTTTTTTCAACACTTCAACCTGTTGACATACCTGCTGACCTGCAGTTTTTGGCATTATAATTATTAAAACAGCACGTTCGCTAAATGGCACAAATAGTCGTCTGTATAGGCAGTTTGCTTGGCATAGTTTAGCCTGTTTAGCCTGATATATGTACTGTTTAAGAATT